CCGTTCCATCACAACTGCTGCGTATAACCATGTCATGTCACTGTCCCATGACTTCCATACCAACAAGAAAACGGGCGACTTATATAGCTCGGTCAATCAAGGAAGATCTGTTAATGGGTTTATCGAATCGGTTCTATTTTCAGTATTGCCAATGCTTGCTGATCTGTGCGTTGCTTTTGTGTACTTCTACATAGCATTCAATTCGTATATGGCATTGATCGTGGCGGTGGTTTCCATGGTTTATCTATGGGTCACTGCGAGACTCGGCGCAAGGAAGAACCAAATGCGAAGGGATTTCAATGCTGTAGGTGTTCTATCGACTTATTATCAGCCAACTACTAAATATTCTCTAGGCGTCAAGAAAGGAGGCAAGTATAATGTGGGAAACTATGTCCAGTTGGACAACAGTAAGTGTAAGTTAGGACCTGTATTTCCGTTCAAAATTTACTTCGGATGGAAGCCTAACGAAGTATTAGTACTTCAATCGCGTCCCTTACGAGCAGGACCGATACTCGGAGGCAATTCGAAATTACCAGCGTGCCGAACGAAAGTGGGATATTGGTTTGCGTGTTTTAAATGTTGCACAGAGCCTTATCTTTACCATTGGCCTCCTAGCTGCCAGTTTCCTTGCCATCTATATGGTAACCATGGGACAAAGGCCAGTCGGAAGTTTTGTCACTCTGTTGTCCTATTGGGCTCAGCTCTCAAGCCCCCTAGCATACTTTGCCAATTTTTACCGTAGGATCCAGACACAGATGCTTGATGCAGAAAGACTTTTGGAGCTTTTCCAAACAAAGCCCACCGTTGTCGATAATCCAGGAGCAATGGACTTGAAGCTGATAAGCGGAGAAATTGAGTTCGAAAATGTAAGATTTTCATACGATCCCCGAAAATCTGCTATAAATGGAGTCAACTTCAAAGCCCCTGGAGGGTCGACTATCGCGCTAGTAGGCGAAACGGGTGGGGGTAAAACAACTTGTTTGAAGTTGCTTTTTAGATTCTTTGACGTGGAATCCGGGGCTATCAAAATCGATGGACAGGATATCAAAGATGTGACCCTCTGGAGCTTGCGAGAAAATATGGGCGTTGTTCCTCAAGTATATATCTCTAAAAGCAACTGCTTTGGTTTTTCGGCGCAAGATCTGACAGTTTACTTAGGATCCGGAGCTGTTTAATGACACCATCATGAATAATATCAGATACGCCAATTTTGATGCGACAGATGAACGTAAGTTTTGCAACATGCCTAATTCCATGATCTTTCAAGAATTTGCTCATCAATTAACTAGAGGTTTTTGCTGCTTGTCGCGCGGCATCGATTCACGATAAGATTGAAAGTTTTCCCGATGGGTATCTTTCTAAGGTCGGCGAGCGTGGTGTAAAGCTTTCAGGTGGCGAACTTCAAAGAGTATGCTTCCTGTAAAATATTCAGCATTCTAGTACTAAGCGATTGTGCAGGTAGCCATAGCCAGGGCGATTCTCAAGGACCCGAAGATCATCTTACTAGACGAAGCGACCAGCATGGTCGATATGGAGACTGAGCGTCAAATCCAATCTGCATTTAAGGAACTCTCAGTAGGCCGTACAATGTTTGTGGTTGCGTAGGTTTTCCCTTGTCCGGGCACAGATAGTTCAAGGATGAGTGCATTGTTATTGATAACCCTTGAATTCCAGGCATCGTCTTTCAACGATAATGAATGCCAACCTTATTATTGTCATCCAGGATGGCGGAATCCTCGAGAAAGGTACTCATGATGAGCTCATCGAGTTAAAGGGCAAGTACTACCATCTATGGTCCAAACAAATGAAAAACGAGGGGCCAAAATCCGGTGCGGATCTAAAAGATATGGCCATGGTCAATGATCTTTCTCCAAAATCTCGAGAAGAAAAACTTAGGACAGCTCTCCAAAAAACAGGGGCTCAATTTCATACTGCTGATCCCTGCCTACTTGAAGACAATAAGATGGATGGAACTTCTAGTAGCTCCGGTATTTTTATGAAGAAAGATAAAAAGGCCGCAGTTGGAGAATCCGTTTCTACTCAAGCGTCTTTAAGGTCAAACGGACATCCAAATGTTTCCTTTGCTGCTCAGGGTTCTCCTTCTCTCGGGAGATCACAAGACTCTCAGTTCCGTCCCCAGAACCTTTTCCGAGCTATGTCCCCAGCCCACAGCATCCTGAAGAATATTGATGTCCCAAAGCAGCCGGAGGGTCAGCTTTCATTTGCATCACGTTCGGTAACTCCCAAGCTCTCGTCCTCACTTAAGCCTGATGCTAGAGAATTTATTCCGAACGAGGCCGTCCCCAGGGATATACCCCAGGAATACGACTCGATTCCACAACAAGTTCAAGTTGGGTTTACTCCCAAGGAGTCATTTTCCATCAATAACAAGAACTTTACTGGTGATACCACTACGTCAGTATCTGTTCTGACAAATGAAGATTCAAGGTCAGAAAAAACATCGAATACCAATCAGGAATCTGAAGCCCATGAAGAAGACCAGGGTGTTATGGTGCAGAGTGTCGAGGATAGGATCGATGAAGCACTCAAAATTGCCGAGGAAAAGATGAAAGAACTTGAAGGGAGGGATGGAGGGGAAACATACATCAAAACACCAATTGCCTCCTCAAAGAACGAAATTCATGAGGAAGATGGTCAAGATGAACAGCCTACCTCTCCTCTAATGAAGACTCAACCCGACGCTGAACTTAAAAAGAAGCGCCGAAGGAGCCGTCGAAGAAGTAATAAGTCAAAGTCCTTAGTGGACGCATCGATGGAGGATCAAGATGCCGGCGGTGTCATCGTCACCGGATACCCTGAGCCCGCTCCAATTACCACTCTACCCAGTGATACTAGCAATGTGCCTCAAATGGTTTCTGTTTCTCCACGCCCCGTAAATGATGGAGGGCCCTCAAATGTCATCGGAGGAGATCTTAATTCCACGGCCTCTGGTCTCGAGAAGAAGCCAAAGCGCCGCTTCCGTACTAGGCCTTCAGCTAAGCCGCAGAGTCCTAAAGCTGAAACTGAAAATCAGGAACCGGGTCCCCACCGGGGTTCTACTCCTTCTAATGAGGCATCCTCAAGGCAGTTTAAAGGAAAGGGCAGAGCTAGTTCTTTCGTCGATGGTGATTATCGTTCTATAACGAGAGAAGATACCCGTCCTTCCCCAAGAGATGGACTGCAGTCTTCTATCCATTCAAACCAACCTGAACAGTCGGCATCTAATAATGGAACCGTCCCTAAAGGCCCAGGCCGACGAAAGACTTGGGGGAGGTCTTATGGTTCAAAGTCCACAAATAATTGGAGGAAGCCAGACAGCGAGGGCCCTGGTGATGGGTTGCAAGGTAGTTATCGCAAATATTCGAACGAATCACCTGGCGCTTGATATAGGGTAGGGGTTTGCCTATAAACTCTTTTGTTATTGTTCAATGCTTCCAATACATGTGGAACCAGTTGTCAGGTTTTAAAGGCTTGTTGATATATATCCTGCATTGGTTCATTCCTGGGTCTTTTTCTCATTCGTCTGTGTTTTTCGCCCGTGTTAAATTTAAAGGGTTTTCTTTTTCTCTTCGCCCCACATTCACTTCTGCGGAGTCTGCATTTCTCTATTAATATCCCAATTTGTGAGCTTTGATTTCGAAAAGCTGATAGAAAAAATTGATTCTGTGTATCCCTGTGTGGCTAGAGGTTTGGAGGTTATCTGTTTTCAAAACCAAATGAATTTAGGGTATTAGTTAGCCCGGAAGGTCTCAAAGTTGGGTGGCTTTCATAAACTCTTGTTCTTCTTAATTTCCCCTTATTTCAGTCATGTCTCCCTTACTGCTTACCTACTAGATAGCTAAACTAGCGCGATAGTGGCTATGAGCATGAGATACGTAGGTTTTAGAGAACCAAGATTCTTTCTCTGGTGAATTTAGTGGAGATGGGCTTTTGTCCATGTATAGAGCATTTCTTTCTTTCTGATCCAGATAAAGGACTGTGTACTGTGTGGTATGTCAGGATGAGTGACAACGAGGACGAAGAAGGTAACGAAGAACTTTCAACCGAATACCAAACTACCATACATGCACATATCAGAGGTCAGGTGGGGCCGGCGTGAGGGGGGCAAAAGATTCTGCGGACAGGGGCCAATTAATCTGCCTTCGCGGCTAGATGAAGAATTAGGTACTAGGAAATGTTCAAGGTTCCTTCACGCCTGTCCTCCCGGAGTTGGAGGGGATTACATATGTGTAATTGTGCTTGTGATCGGGATCAAAAATATGATATCGATAGCGGTAAATATATGAACCTCGGATGAACTGTGGGTTAGTGCGGTCAGATACATACAATTATTTACTATACCGAAATTAAAGTTGAATTAAATTAAGGGACTCTAACCATTTATTACCGTCATAGATCATGATATCTAGTGAACCGAAAAGTGCCCCAAGAGAGACCGGCCTTAGAGAATGCTACATGTAGTTGTGGATACATGTAATCGATTTCGTAGGTTAAGTACATGTATGTACATGTAGGTAAATACATGTACCTTGGATGAGGTTACAAGTACATACATGTACATACATTATGTATCACGTATTTCCTATGTGTTGATGAGAATTTGAGAACATGTAGTGATATACACTTGTATCTCTGTAGGTACTTAGGTACATGTACTGTACATACACTTGACCCATATTAAAAGGCCCGTGCTGTTGCAACGAATATCGGCCGTCTTGGCACGACACGTGAGACCCCCTCTGAAGGTAGTCATCCTATCAGAGCCTCAACATCGCGACAAACACCCCGCCCAGACAAAAACACCCAAGCCCGTACCACCCAATCCTCACCGTGCTAGCACCAAACTCAGCATCAAATTCACTAACCCAAATATTGTATATTACAAGGCTCTGAAATTTATTCACCTCCATTATAGCTTGCGAAGGCTTGATCAAAAACGTAGCAGAACACGCTCTAATTTTTTATTTTTGCCAGGTTGTAATCGTGGCATATTTCGTAACATGGCCAGGACGCGGCTTGAGTAGGCAGAGCTGGAACGAACGATCTACTATACCGAAATGTTTCTCGACAGCACATCTCTTAGCCTTGTCTTAGCCTATCAAAGGCAACCCGATCAAAATTATCGCGGATGCAGGGGCCATGCATCGTAGTTTGCGTGCGGCCCGCACGGATGATGCGGGTTACGCAAAGCGATATGTACCCTACATGCAATTGGCTGCTTGACGCGATAAGTTAGGTTTTGGGTGGGACACCGTCTTGCACGTTATCAACGAGCACGTAATTTCCGAGTAAGCATCCCCACGACGCGTCTCCTTTGTTTGGCAAAGTATTACTGTTACACAATGACCACGCTCCAACAGTTGCAGACTTCATGTCTAGGTCTGCTATTCTCGACACAGGCACACAAGGTTGGATTTGCCCGGTTGGGAGTCCAAGAGAATGTTAATATCCTGAGCGAGCAAGAGCAGTACCTGCTGGGGCTTTACGATCGGCTGGGAGAGGTCTGCCTTGAGCGAAGAGTACTAGTGGCCGAATTAGAGGGTGATGGTTCATTCCCCCCACACTCTCTGCGTAGAGATGAGACTAATATGTTGATTTTGACTTAGACAAATCAACTGCAGATGAGGGCGAGGAAAATCTCCAAGAGAGGACTGCGGTAGCGGAAAGCGAGCTTCTGCAAAGCACGGCAAAGACACAGATGAAAGACAAGGTCCTCGAGACGACCCTCATCACCCACCCCATCTTGAAGGCGGTGCATTCTGGCGCAGGGAGCACGGCTAAGGAACGGTCCGTATATTGTTTTTCTACCTTATTGTAGACCAGATCAGGCCTAACATTGTTTGCATAGGGCCTTACTGCCCCTCATCCAACGCCGCGACATGCTCTCACTCACGCATGCGAACCTCTCCCAAGTTCTCACTTCCACGCTCGACAACATCTCGCAGACGCAGGCAGCAATTGCGGATGCGCGGGAAACCAATAGGCAGCTCGCGGCAAGATTACTGGCGCTGACTGAGAAGCGAAAGAAGGAAAGAAGGAGAGCCGCGGGGGGAAGAGACGAGAGATATGACGAGGCTGAGAAGGATCTGAAAAATGCGAAGGTTAGGTGGGAGATTATGAGGAACGCTGTGCAGGCCATCATCGTGGGAAGCGGGGTGGACTGGACTGGTGATGCGAGATTGAGGAAAACGGTACTAGCGTGTGGGGAGGATATGATGGATGATGATTGATCGTTGTGGCTTTCTGGGCGCGTTATTTCACTTCCAGGTGCTTTAGCTAATTAGGGATTGCCATCTGGTTAATTCTTGCCTTAATTTCCCTAATTCAAGTCAGAATTACTCCCCTTCCCTCTCCCAGATTAACTAGCGTATATTGCAATGGGGAAGTCTTCACGTGAATTTGAATCATATACCATCACTCGGCTAAGTACTAAAATCTCAATGTCTGTTCATTAGATACTATCAGCCACTCTACAGTCGACTCTCACTATAAAGGCACTATTTATAAGGGTAACTGTTCTGTGGGGGTATATACACAAGTATTTATTATTCCAAACTTTTGTGTAAAATTAAGGGTAAACGGCCGAATACCTACAGTCGCTCACCTACTGACGGCGGATCCTGTCTGATGGTTCTGTTTGCAGTAATTTGCCCTTGGCGTCCAAAACCTAACTCTTTTATTGGCCTCAAATCCCTGACCGCCATCAGACAGGATCCGCCTTCACCCCGTGAGTGACTGTACTTGATATAAGGATACCCTTAGTAGCTTAAATCTTTTTTTTTTGGTGGGGGTGGGGGTACGTACCCTTATAGAAAGGGTAATGCTATGGTCAAATTTCCTCTGCAATTCATTATTAGACCGGAAATTAACTAAATAACCCTAACCCCGGTTTCTCATACCCATCTACTGTGGGTATGTACTACATGTATGTCAAGCTCTAGAAACTTATAATCCAGCCGTGGTACTACGCACAGAAATACAAATGAGTAAACTACATGTGTAATATACATGTAATTATATGTATGTATTTCTACCCCACGTTTCACCCCGCCAATCACCTATGTACACCCGCAGGGAAAAAAATGAGGAAACAGCGAGTAGCGTGACAACGGGTGCCTCCAACTTGACATCCCCACACCCGCAATACAACCCCATGAGTATTCCGTGGCCATGCCTTTTGACAAGTCTGGAAAGTGGATAGAGGCTACTCCGAATGAAAACATAAAAGTTATTGAAGCCCAAGCTAGGGAAGAGTAGGAAAGGCCGGATTGGGGGAAATGTATATAAAAATCATTGACAGCATGCCAAAGAGAATTGCAGCAGTAGTAAAGGACTAGGGAGATCATAGGGGGTGGTGAATATAGTTTAGAGGCCATAGTATCTATTCTGTATTTTATTGTTTAGTTATATTACTTCTTTTCATTTTTATCCCCGCTGTTTCCTCACTTTTTTCCTGCGGGTGTACTTTAAACAAGGCGCGCGGCTGGGTACATATCATGATCACGTGTACCGTGAAACCCCGCGGTTAATAAGCCGGTATTATCCGCCCATATTCGATCACTACATGTAGATTATCATCATCATTGTCACCGTGTCACCATCACGTTTAAGCATCACCATGGAAGGACTAGGCATTGCGGCAAGCATCATCGGTGTTATTCAACTTACCGGAAAGGTCTCTTCTCTGGGTTACGGTTACATTAGCAAAGTTGGTCAAGCGCAGCAAGAAATCGAAAGTTTCCTCAAAGAGCTTGCTTCTCTTGAGAAGTTCCTTGAACTTATTGACAGTTATGTCAAAGCAGGCACAGCAACGTCTGATGCACTACAGGCATTAGACGAACCACTTCGCACATGTATGCGAGAGCTGAAGAACTTAGAGTTAAAACTGAAGCCTAAAAAAAAGCCATCGTGGTTCAGAAAGAAAATGGGGTTAACCTCACTCATGTGGCCTTTGAAAGAGAAAGAGGTCACTGAAATAATAATAAGGATAGAGAGGAACAAAACCTCTTTTCTTTTGGCGCTGAGTTTAGACAATATGTAAGTATGAACATTACTTTCTTCGTGCTGAAAACCCTTACTGATGCCCCTGGGAATAAGTTCGCAGCTTCGGGCAAACTTAATAGCCCAGGGCTCTTCGAGACAGGCCGACGATTCTGCTCGTGCAGGTATGTGAACCTTTCTAATATCTGCCACCAATCGATCATGTCACACATTCCTCCCAGCAAGCAAGTTTTGTATTGTCATTGGATGTAATCTACGGAGGATTTCTGAGCGATATTTGAATTATTACGCTTATATATATGGGGAAATGCAGAACAAACCCGCAAAAACGCTCTTAATTGGCTGTACCCCGGAGACTTCGACGAAACACATACCCAGATCGGAAGCGTGAGACAAAAAGACACCGGCGGTTGGCTCTTAAGACATGAAAGTTTTCAAAAACTAGTCAGAGGGGAACAGGGTTCTAGACTTATTTGGGGTTATGGCATTCGTAAGTAATACAAACTATCAATCGAACTTTATATACAAGGGATGTTAACGAGTTGCCCAATAGCTGGAGCTGGCAAAACATTCTTGAGGTTTACCCCCCCCCCCCCCTTTCTTCTCTGCCCCAAACGAAAGAGAAAGGTCTAAATACATAGATATCTACTAGCTACGCCGTGGTAGATCATTTCCTATCTCAGGCACAGCAAAAAGGCTACGGAGTAGCTTATTTCTATTTCAACTATAAAGAAAAGGCGCAGCAAAGTCCTAATATCGTCATTGCTAGTCTTTTAAAACAACTTGCTAGCCAATTGGTACAATTGCCCGATGGAATCTCGGAATTATACAAGCTAGAAAAAGAAAATAAACGTCCTACTTTAGCCCAACTAGTCGAAGTCTTTCTTGCAACTTTCAAGTTGTTTGGTCAAGTGCTTATAGTTTTCGATGCCCTGGACGAATGTGACGAAGATTCCCAGCGGGCGAAGCTCCTTCCACTGTTTCATCAGATGGCGGACGTGGGGGCCGGTTTATTCATCACTAGTCGTCAACACCCAGAGGACATTCAAGAATCGTTCAAAGATGTAGTCAAGATTGAACTTTCGGCAAAAAGTGACGATATAAAAAGCTACATAGAAGAGAGAATTGAGCAGAATACAAGGGCGAAACGACTGGTTCATGATGGAAAATTTGGGGATCGTATAGTCTCGCAGTTGACCAAATGCGCTAATGGGATGTATGTGCTTAAACCCCAACCCCCCATCCCCACAATAGTTATATATATATGCATATATATTCTAAACCATAATTACATGTATAGGTTCTTGGCAGTGCGGTTCCATCTTGACTACATTTGCCAACAGACCACAGTCAAGCAGATATTCATCGCACTCGAGACCTTGAAGGACAATATTATTGGGGAGAACCTACTAGATCCTACCTATGACCGAGTGAAGGAAGCTATTATAAATCAGCCGAAGAATTGCGCAAGGTTGGCAATTCTCATCCTTTCATGGCTTGTCCATACAAAACGGATACTTAGCATTAAGGAGATCCAGATTGCTGTCTCTATTGAGCCTGGGCGATACGAAATAGATGATTCAGACCTACCCGATATCAAAACAATTCTGGACGTGTGTTTTGGCCTGGCAAGCATCGATGAGAATAGCGGCACCATCAGGCTATCCCACCTCACAGTTCACGATTATCTCATGAGAGATCCCGTCATACTAAAGAACGCAATCCTCAATGTCGCTATTGCTTGCACAACGTACAACTCTTTTAGTATTTTTGCCGAGTTGATGCCGCATGAGTTTTTAGATAGGGAGGAATTATGGGAAGCTCGACTTGCATTGTATCCCTTCCTAAAATATAGTGCACTCTTCATGTCTTCACACCTTAAATCTTGCGAAGAGGAGTCAACACAAGATGTTGTTCTTGAATTTCTCCAACGTCCGGGAAACCTTAATTTTTGGGTTCTGGCTCTCCATTATTTCAAAAAAAGGCAACGAGCTTACCAATTCTACCCTATTTTTTCCAGCAAAGACGGGATAGAGGAGCTACCATCTGGTTGGCCATTCTCAAGCTCCTACAGTAAATCTTGGAACCCTCTAGAAGGTGCGTCTCGAATTGGCCACGCTCTACTAGTTCAGAGACTAGTAAGGGAGGGGTATAATTCTCCAATCGCGGTGAGGTTGGCAGCATCCGAAGGACACGGGGACGTTGTTATGCTTCTGATCAATAATGGAGTAAACGCCTCTGATATTTCGGATCACAAAGGCAATCTGCCGCAGCACTTGGCAGCAAAGATAGGGCTAGCAGAGGCAGTGAATATGCTACTTGATCGGGGTGCGGACATTGAGGCTAAAAATATAAAGGGGAATACAGCACTCCATCACGCGGCATCAGGTGGGCATGAAGCGGTCATCAGACTGCTGCTTGATCGGGGTGCAGACATCGAGACCAAGCATCAGTATGGTTTGGCGGCACTCCATTACGCGGCATTGGGTGGGCATGAGGCGGCCGTCGGACTGCTGCTTGATCGGGGTGCGGACATCGAGGCGAAGGATCAGTATGGGTGGGCGTCGCTCTATTACGCGGCATCACGCGGGCATGAAGCAGCCGTCAGACTGCTGATTGATCGGGGTGCGGACATTGATGCCAAGGATGAGAATGAGTGGACAGCACTCCATGAAGCGGCATCACGCGGGCATGAAGCGGTCGTCGCAGAGCTGCTTGATCGGGGTGTAAAAATTGAGGCCAGGGACGATAATGGGTGGACAGCACTCCATTATGCGGCAGCACGCGGGCGTGAAGCAGTCATCGCAGTGCTGCTTGATCGGGGCGTGGACATGGAGGCCAAGGATGAGAATGGATGGGCAGCACTCCATAATGCGGCATCACACGGGCATGAAGCGATCGTCGGGCTGCTGCTTGATCGGGGTGCGGACATCGAGGCCAAGAGTAAGCGTAAGGGGACAGCACTTCATAATTCGGCCTTAAGCGGGCGTGAATCGGTCGTCAGACTACTGCTTGCTCGGGGTGCGGACATCGAGGCCAAGGATGGGAATGGGTGGACAGCGCTTCATAAAGGGGCATCAATGGGGCGTGAAGCTCTCGTTAGACTGCTACTTGATCGGGGTGCGGACATCGAGGCCAAGAGTAGGTCTAATGGGACAGCACTCAATAAGGCGGCATCACACGGGAATATGGCTGTCGTCGGACTGCTGCTCGACCGGGGTGCGGACATGGAGGCCAGGGATGAGAATGGGTGGACAGCACTCCACAACGCGGCATCACACGGGCATAAAGGGGCCGTCGGACTGCTGCTTGATCGGGGTGCGGACATCGAGGCCAAGGATAGAAATGGGCTGACAGCACTCCATGCCGCGAAAGCGAAACGCAAGGATAAGATAATTGACCGACTTCTTAAGGGTAGTACCGGTAGTACCAATAAACCTTTGCCGTAAATCGTAAGGGATATGAAAGATGTTTCGTATATATATACATGTGGTATGCTTAAGCCGGTGAACACTACTCATTTTATTCATTACTTTCTTTCTCAAAATAATTTCTCTTATCTTCTATCCACCCTATAGCTACGTCACAATATTAGCACATGGATTTTTATTGCCCTTTTAGCACCTAATTGACCATTGTTACCGAGAGGTTTGACGGGAATTGATGCCAGGCCAAGTGATATATATTTATTATCCTCTAACTTTACATCTTATGTAACGTCTAGCATTTATACAGCCTCGCCATATCCGCCACATCTTTATAGACACAAGTCCTCGTTAATATTCTATCAGAAAGCCGGATTAAGAGATATAGCTACATATACGTAACCCTCCATATAAGGGTCTGGAGAGGAAATTGCGTGCCTCGGGGGGTTTCGCTTCGTATGCTCTCCCGGCACCGGATCCCTCCGCTATATATATACTTGCGCGTCACCGGCCCATTCCGCCACCTGGGCTTGGACGGATTAATACCCAAGCTCGTAGGGTAGCAAATTTATCCAAGCTATCATACCATGAATTAAACAAAAAAAAAAAAAGCTATCATTCGAGTGATTACCCATGACTCCCGTATGTACAGTATCCACAACTGCCCTTGCGCAACTTAGGGTGTAGATGGATTGGTAGTACAGTATAATTTTTTTTAGTACTATGCCGAGACAAACGGGGTCATTGAAGGATTCGGCCGCAAGCTTTCCTGGGGGCTTGCTTATATTCGTATACGAATAAAAAAAAAATCATACAAAAACATTTCTCTAGTATACAGTACGAAAAAATGGGGTGAAATCAGTACTGTATGACTACGGGATTTAGTGGATAATACAGAATTAAACCGGCACTATACAAAGAATGCCGTAGTAATGCCGTATTCCTGCTGCATTACTAGCGCATCAAGGGGAATAACGTAGCGAATCCATACCCTTTTTTGATATTGTAATCATATGCTTATAGGGATATATATCAACTTAGAATAATATAGTTCCCGGTCCGCTAAACTCTATCTCCTCTATAAGAATACTTGTCACTTTGGGACTACATGTAGCTATAGAAAGTCGTTCCACCCCGCCGCACACAGTGATAGCCTGGCCTCAGCCTGTGCAAAACCAAAGAGTCTTCTACATGAGGAACCACTCTCCCGCCCCCCACGCATAATTAAAAGTAGACAAATGCCAACAAAAAGAAAAAGATATGTGTGTGGTTCCAGAGGGGGTCGAACCCTCGACCTTGGCGTTAACATTTTTTACAATATTAGCACCACGCGCTAACCAACTGAGCCATGGAACCATGCTTTCTATGCTACCACTTTGGAATTATAAACAGATTGTTTCAGCGCACAATGCTAAGCGAGTGATGCGGCATGACCCACCTACCTTGCCCCAACAAAACCGAGCATTTGCATTTATGGGTGTGGACGACGAAAGTTACATGCCAGGGCTGTTGAGATCGGCTACATAGCAATCTGATCTGTAGCGCCATCGTAGGGTAAGAGTTGATCGAAGTGCCAAGCCCCGGATGTTGAGCTCGAGATATATATGTACGATCGGATAAGAGCCGGAGTGGCTAGGCCTTTCTTATTTTAATCCATTTTACACATGATCTCCCAAGTATGAGAAACTTATCTACGTTCATAAGGCATCTCTCAAACCTGAAAGCTCGTTGCGGGCAAACACGAATAACAAGCAATGCTTAGAAACTAGTTCCGATACTCATAATTTTTTAAAGACTTGCAATTGATGGAGCCTAAATATAGGGTGAGCTTTAATTGGGGGTTTTGCCTTCCACAGGGGGCGTCACTTGGCCAGGAATGACCGTCACAATGTTTCACTAGACTTAGCATGTGATGGATTGGATACGGATAAGTTGATTCTTCAGATGTAGGATCGTGTGATATATACAATGCACTCTATAGTAACCGCTCACAATCAATGATTCAACGATAAACAGGTTGCGTGTAGCGAGGAAAATCATTATCACATGAATCCCTCGTAAATAATAATAATCAGAACGTCAAACAGCATCCATTAAAACCCTTGTTTGGTTATCCAAACGTAAGCATGAGTCATTCCCCCATACCGTACAAGCTCCGATAGAATAGATGGCTCAAGTAAAAAGTCCTCTTAGGTAGTGAAGACAGAATATGAAGTCCTCCAAAATGATTATTATGTCGTACTGGTATCGTTTTCCCACGCACCATCCCTATCCTATTCCCCTGCCCTAGCAAACCCCTGTTAAAGAAAAAAAATACTCTATGGTCATGAATTACAACTATTTTCTTCTTTCTTTTTCGTGTTTGTTTAAAAAAGAATTACTCCTTGCGGATGTATTCCCTGCGGTAGAGCTCATCAACCTTGTTCAGGTAGTAGGCTCCCTTTGAGATAGTGTCGGCTGAACCGGCGGGAGTGAAGTTGCCTTTTCCGTGAACGTTGTGGCGGAGGTTGCACATCTATTAAGAAAGAAAAGCGCGTTAGTATCCATAAAAATATCAAAATCAACCAGGGTGGAACGAGGGAAAGCATACATCATCGTAAACCTGTGGCTCAACAACTCTCCTCTGCTCGAGTCTCTCCAGCAAGTTAAGCTTCTCAGAGATCTCCTGTGTGCTTCCATTTATTCTCACGGAGAACAGGGAAGCCGCCAACCCTGAACCGTAGGAGAAGAGACCGATTCTCTTGCCCTGAAGACCCTCGGAAGAAACGTTTGACAAAAGAGAACAAAGTCCAGAGTAGACACTGGCAGTGTACATGTTACCGCACATTGTGGGCGCAGTCAAACCAGGCTGGACACGTTCCTGGAACCTCTTCTTGGCGAGACCCATGAAAGTCTTCTCAATGTTGCGGTCAGATAGCGATTGCTCGTAGTCGAGTTCGCGGAGGTCCGCGGGGATGGTGCTGAACTGCTCAGCCTCCGGACTGGCCAAGAAGTCGTTATACAGCAAGCGGGCATACGACTTGGAGACAAGCTTGCAGGTAGGAGCGTGGAAGAGCATGTAATCGAATCGCTCGATGCCCTCACTTACAGTAGTGTGGCCATTGCCATTGGCGACACCCTGGTGTTTTGCAGCAGCGGCGGCAATGGTTGCTTCCCGGTTGTTGTACGCCTTGTAGCAAGCGTCAACAGCCTCGGTGTAGCAACGGATGGAGAAGTGGCCATCAACAACCGGGTACTCGCTTGTGAAGTCAGGCTTGTAAAAGTCATATGCGTGCGCCATATAACTACCACGTTTTCCTGGCTCGAGGACAAGAGGGGCATCAGGGCCGATAAGCATAGCAACACAACCAACACCACCGGTAGGTCTGGCAGCGCCCTTCTTGTACAGCGCAATGTCACCAGCAACGACAATCGCGTTGCGGCCGTCCCACGCGGAGGACTCAACCCAGTTGATGGCGTTGAAAAGGGCGTTGGTACCACCATAGCATGCATTGATGGTATCGACACCCTCAATGTTGGTGTTTCCGGATGGTGCAAAAAGCTGCATCAAGACGGACTTTACAGACTTGGACTTGTCGATAATTGTCTCGGTACCAACCTCGAGACGGCCAATTGAGGTGGGGTCGATCGAGTACTTCTCAAGGAGCGACTTTGTGGCGGTCAAAGCGAGGGAGTAGATGTCTACATTGCGGGGTAAGCCATACGTCGATACAACATCCCCCAAAGGTTGTGATTATAGGCCAGCATACCTTCCCGGTCATCGCAGAAGGACATTTTTGTCTGCCCAAGACCGATGGTGTACTTTCCAGTAGACACGCCGTCGAACTTTTCCAGCTCGGCTTGGTCAACGCACTACATGATGGTTGTCACAGTTAGCAAGAATTACAACTTCGATTGGGTCCATTAGAACCCCCCCCCCCCCCCTTTTTTTTTCATCACCGGGGGTCTCGAGACAACAGGAAACCAACTCACCTGGCTGGGGAAATAGATTTCCATGGCCTTGATGCCGACATTCTGAGCACGAGTACACATTATTGCTGATGTTGATTAAAGATTGAAATCTAAAGTTCTAAGGTTGTGATGTAAAAGAGCAATTGAGAAGGAACCGTAGTGTAGAAGGAGCTTGTGGGATGGATGAGTGGATGGAGGAGAATGTAGGAAAGAGAATGAACGGTGGAAGGGCTCGTGCAGATAAAGTAGCTCTTGGGGTGGCAGAGTAAGAGGAGGCTAAAGGGCCTAAGCGGATGGGCGATTTTTTTGTTGTCCCCCCCCCCCCCAAACGTGCGGTGACCAACCCCATTCAGGAACAGTACAACAGCAACGGCAGGTGCAGGCAGCTCAAGTCTTGGGAGAACCTACCGACCAGAAGGTGCCCATTGTGAGTAGTACATACATGTTGTGGTGTATGTCCTCTATCTACCAACAGGCAATTTAATAACGACTTGATCATCCCATCATACCCATCTCTCCCAAAAGCTTTAGCCACTGCTGAGGACCCCAGAGCAGATTTTTGTAAATCAAGAGAGCTCCGTAAACCCGTTTCATACCTCCACCAATTTCTGTGTAGCTACATCTCCAGAGTACGTGTTGTATCAGTAGCTACAAGTTACGAACACACTGTCCTCCGATCTCCAGCAAAGACTGAGACTCTGTGTTTCCTTGCGCCATGGGTTAGGGCTTGCAGCACCCTGCATGCGCTCCGAGAAACGAGCAAAAAAACACAAGGGACCACCCCCCCCCCCCCAAAATTCGCAATGCTTGCGGCATACATAGCCCCTACTGAGACCTTATCTCGTGCCCTGAACTTGGCAATCTTAAACCCCCCCCCTTATCCTGAACCCTTCATGTTTCTTGTCGATCCGTGTTCTCCCAACAAACCAAACAAATGAAAAAAAAAAAGCCCTCTCATCGTACGATGTTTTTCCTTGATGTATCTGGGCATAGAGCAGAGCTTCGTTGGGATTTCCGGGAGAAGCTCATTTCGGAGCGGGTGACCTTGCCCGACCTTTCTCTTTTTTGGGCAAACCCCTGAACTACATACATATGAGCGCGACTTTTTTTCTTCTTTCCTTTTTCTCTCTCACCTCTCTTTCCACCGGCCATCCTCGTTCTCGCTGGTTGCTGAGCAGGACCGTTGGGAGGATCCACACTCCTGGAAAGAAAGAAAGCAAAAGAAGAAAAGAAAAAAACGTGAGAAGAAACCAATGTGAGTAGAAGTAGGTATTGCGGTATGATTTGCTGTTGTTTATGCGACGGAGCCGCAATGGATAAGTAAGTTTTCGGGCGTGCGGGCAGCGGCATGGCCCATCGTTCCAATGGAACGATACCGGCTCCATTCGCGGATTCGGAACCAGACCAACCCCATTTCAGGCGTTGGATGTGCTACGAAAAAGGAAAGAGCTACTCATAGCATAGGAAAAACCATTGACTACAATTCACATATTTGGCGTCTCACTCGTGGTGGATTGATGAATTTCTGTTCCCCCAGCCCATGCGGCTACATACATACTCATGTAGGGCAGGAAAATAAAGGCGCATCATACTCTAACCTGCAAGGCCAGCAAACACCCGCCGGCCGCTAGCGCCGCAGAAGGAACCAGACCGGGGGCACGCCTTTTCTGGTTTGGGCTTGGGATCGGAGAGGGCTTCTCGAAGCTCCAGTCATTGACCGTACATCCGGAAGCTCCCCCCCCCCCCTTTCGATGATGTATTATTACGGAGCTTATGATGCGCAAATGTTCTCTTTTTATTTATTTATTTCTATTTCTACATCGCTGGGCAGTCGGGGCACGTACCCCTAGCATTGCCTACGTGGTAGGGTGCGGGGAGCTTCCGCTCCAGCGGGGGTTTTGGGGAGCTTATTTTAGCCTTTGCAAAACCTTGATGAGGTCTCCAAGGACTCCCATGGCTGTGACTTCAGCTCCAGCACTGATCAGGGTGTCAGTACAAATAACAGTCGAGTCGAGGATAATCGAGCCAAGGAGCAACCTACCCTGCACCCTGCACAATGAGTGCTCTCTCGCCATATCTCTTGGTGTAGAAAGAGATGATGTTATCACTCCCCTTCAATCCCGCAATCGCCGAAGATTTATCGAAGCTATCCACGAACACACTGTCAGCACCGCAAAACCACCCAGAGCTCCACTCCAATATCCACAAACTTACGTCTTCAGCCCCACACTGACCGCCTTCGTCCCGACGTCCAAGCTCCCCACAAACCTCGTCACCCCACCCGCAGCCTCCGCCTCCTCCTTCACGCTCTTCATCTCCCCATCGAAGCCCGCTAGCCCCTCAAGAAACTCCTCCGCCGTCTTAGCCGCAACTAGCGGCTCGGGTACCAACGACTGTATCGGAAACGACGTCGGCGACTCGACCATCAGCCCCGACAGCCTTGCGAGGATTGTCAACTTCCTCGCCACATCCAGCCCATTCAGGTCATCCCTCGGATCAGGCTCCGTGTACCCCAGGTCCCTGGCCTCCTTGACACACTCTGCGAAGCCCTTCCCGCCGTTATCGCCGCCCAGCGGCGCAAACGAGTTAAACAGGAAGCTCATGGTCCCCGAGAACACACCCTCGATCTTCTGCACCTCATCGCCCGTCTCGATGAGCTCCTTGAGCGTGCTCAAGACAGGGAGGCCCGCGCCGACCGTCGCCTCGTGGAAGACATATCCGGCGCCGTCGACACCGTTGTTGGCGGATGCATCGTAGATAGCGTTCCAGAGGGAGAGGTCACTGGAGAAGCCCTTCTTGTTTGGCGTGACGACGCTGATGCCCGACTTGAGCAGGGCCGGGTAGTTCCCCGCGAAGCCGACGTCGGCGGTGTTGTCGACGAGGATGACGGGGCCGGGAGCGGCGGTCAGGAAGGAGAGGGTCTGCGAGAAGGAGGGGGCGGGGCTGGTGGCCGCGGTGCTCCAGGAGGTGAGGTCGATCCCGCTATAGTCGGCGGAGATGATGGCTTGGGTGCTGCGCGCGATGAGAATTGTGCTGAGGGGGCGGCGGGAGGTCGAGGCGTAGGACGCGAGCTGGGAGATGAAGGCTTTGCCGACGCCGCCGGCTCCTGGTGGGGGTTAGAGCGGGAGTGGGACGCAAAGGGGGGGGGGGGGTAGAGGGGCTTACCGATTATTGCTACGTAGACTTTGGACATGGTGCTGTGTTGTGGTGGGGAATTGAGGTGGTGGTGTTTGTTGGAGGTGTTTTGGGGAAGCAATGGTGGGGCAATTGCGGGGGGGGGCATTTGAAGACTTTTGAGCCCCATAGAAAACTGACAGACGTGCAGGGTTTGTTCAAAATGCGACCGGAGCACGCCATTCTAGATGGCAAAAAAAACAACTATGGGAACCACACCAGGACTCGCACAACTGGAGAAATATATACACACAGCAGTTAAACTCACACGATGTTAACCTGCAAAGAGTGCGAGTGATAGACTGGGATGTGGCTATGCTGGCTGGGAGAAGTGGCTGTCATGACGAGTGATATCTCATGCATGGGCTTGGCACCCGCGGACGAAACACCCTTCGCGGATTGGCGGCATGAGGTGCTATCAGTGGAACACTAACATTTGATGTCAAAAAACATGCTTCGCGGGAAGTGCGTACAATGGCACCTCGCTATGGCTGGATTGCCAGGATTCACCAAATCTCAAGGAATCAGGGAACAACTTGATTTTGCAGTAGAAAAAATAGAACTCCGCGCGGGGCAGCAGGGCATCTTGCATATTGAGTTCCGCCATGCACAGCGGGGTGTAACTGTAGACCATAGCTCCTGATGGCATATTTATGGTACTGTAGGTAGTAAAAATAGTAGAGTGCTAAATATCATCACCACCAAAACTTATCGCTTCAACTGCCGTACTACAGGCCCTCTGTCGCTTAGACTCGCTTCCGGGTTGGCGTTTTGGATTATGGTTTGGTGCACCAGCTGGGTCAACAGGCAGTAATATCATCGTCACCTAGATCAAGATGGATACAAGTAGCTACATGTATTTATAATGTAATGACCTGGATACTGGCATAGCTTAGATGAAGTAGCAAAGATGCAAAATCCTCGGGTCGCGTGTAGGCTGTTTTCTGGCATCATGGTGGACTAAGATTGAGAGTCACGGGGCCCGGAGACTTTGCGTATTTGCTAGTACTTGCTTACCATGGCCGGCAAAAAGAACCAGACAATGCAAGTGACGGAAACAGGGATTATTTGTATGCGCCACTCCATACAAACTATCCTGACCCTGAGCAACCGCATTTTTCTGCTGGTAAGCAAGTAGTTGGAAACTCAATAACTATCCATGAGGGCAATAGGAAAGATAAGAAACAATATCTACTTCGTCTGGCATGCAGATCCCAGAAAAAGCAAATAGGAAAGCATCAAAGCTCTAATACTCGGGTTCTGTGATTTGAGTTGTTACTCTACCGACTACATTCCAATTCTCGCCGGTTAATATAGCTATGGAATTTGGACTCTCTGTCTAAGAGTATGTAGTTGAATACAGTGGTATATTGCTCTAGAGCAGTTTATCGCTGAACGTTAGAATGCGGAGATCGATCCCTGCATGTTGTAGGATGGGATGCTTGCTTTTTGTCGACACCGCGTAGAGTATTAATAATTCCTCACGTGCCCACCCACCACGTTGTGCCGTCTCGGATGACGTGAGCGCCCGCAACGTCTCCGTCTGTCAGTCACTCGCTCAAGGAGAAGGAGCCTATTCCCGGAACCTGTATAACTGCTGCTGGCCAGCGTCCCAAACAGTCCTTTTTTGTTTCCTACGATGCTCCTCCCCCTCCTTCTTCTTCTTCACTCTTCATGTGTAGCGTGCGCAGCAGCAGTAGTAGCAGTGCCAGCCTGCACATCGTTGATTTCAAGGTACAAGGATAACCGGCATTTATTGACCCCGTCCTCCGTCCGTGCGACTACACTTCGTGACTACTCTACCTACGTACTACACCACCTACTATTACTCTAGATCTACTCTGCTCCACGAGCTTCGATACTCTGTCTAGAAAGTAACGCCAAAAACTAGCTTCCCCATGGACCTCTACGCCGACAGGCTCCGCGAGCTACAGCCGCTCTGGAGTAGCGTCGAGAACTGGGCGGTTCGGCTATTTGTAATCACCTACCCTTTCTTTCCTTGGCCCGGCGGAGTAAGAGACCTTTTTACTGACGATGGCGGGGGGTGGTTGTAGTTCTTCATGGGCGCGATAACGCTGCTGCCGTGGGTGCTGCTGATCGTCTTTGATGCGGGGGTGTATGTGTGGCGGTGCTTGGTGCTTGCGCTGGGCCTGGAGGCGGGGGGAAGGATGGTGTGTATGGATGTAGATGTGGATGGGGGAGAGATGGGGGAGAAGGAGGCATGAGCTCTGGTGGGGTTTAGGATGGTGGGGTGGGATGGTGGGGTGAGATAGTGGTGGTATGGTGCGGGCGCGGGTGCAGGCGGGAGGCGGGGTCCGGGGGTTGAGGTGGAGGACCTTAGGTAGGTGCTCGCCATCTGAGCGCGGTGCTGGCTGTGCTGATTGACAGGCGGGCAGGCTGTCGACAACCTACTAGCTGGACCTGTCCGGTCTCAAACCTTAACTTGTGCGTGGGCAAAGCGCACGCGGGCCGGGGGTAGCTGACATGTGTACCACCCGCCTACCTCCTGCCTGACCCGCTCCCGACGGCCTGGGGCCGAGGAATTGTTCTTTCCTTCCTTTTTGGGAGTTGCTTCCTACCCGGTGTTTCTTTTCTTTCCGTTATAGATCTTCCCTTTCTACTAGCGCTGGTCATTTCTTTCACACTCACTCATGACTTGTACATCTTGTATGTAACGTATGTATCATAACCTGTATCTATTAACCAGGTTCTCCACATGTCCCGCGCGTGCACATCTTCGGGCTTTTGGTGATCGGGGTCCCGCCATCTGAGGTCTGGGGGGTTCTCAAGAAAGGTGATGATCAGATTAAGTCCGTGTCGCAGCTTAGCTTTATAGCTTCTCGAACTCTAATACATATGCTTAACTAGTTACAACCACGTAGCCATTGTATCGTATACATATCTTAATTAACACATATTCCTCTAACCTGCTCTGCAACGTCATATTTAGCTAGCTCTTACTTCGTTCCGCATGTAAAAATAGCCAGTCTACCACCAGTTCTTGAGATATGGGCTTGGAAACCCGACGGGTGGCGTGTTTCGGCGGGCTCGGCGCTATGGGGACCGGCGGTTTATCTACTTACCTGGTAGTGGCGAACTGGTAATCGGGTTGTGCACGTACGTTGGGGGCGGTGCCATCTCGGCCCCGAGGCCCGCACTTGTTACACAGGCATCTATCAAACCTAAGCCGGCATATAACCATAATTCCTAACTTGGAGGACGTACTATCCGTAGAGTAAGGATTAACTGTTATTGTGTGATAAGCCCTGTCGACGGAACAATACCGCGTGGGGTCCGGCTAGCTGGTTATGGCTATGGCTATCTTCTATGCTCTGGGGGCTCGGGGGGGATTGCGTATAGACACGGAGGGACTCCGTGGGCCGGGGTGGTATTCAATATATAATGCGGCGCCGAACCGGCCCGAGAAGTGACTCTAAGACCGGGTTGACATTATGTTGCACGCGGGGCGCTCGCTGGCCGAGTCCCATGGCCAACTAACGTTAAGTCAGGAGAACCGTAACATGAAGTGCCGTAGTCTATAAGATGCAGGTGTGTCCCACTTCCCACGTAGAGAGTGGGCTGTGAGGGCGGGTATGTTCCCGCCTTGCTGTAGGAGGCGGGGTGGGGCCACGAGCCTGAGACGGGGTGCTCGTAGGACGTTAGTGGGCTGTGGTGTGTGGTGTATAAATAGAGATTGGGACTGTAACGGATGCCTGGTGGGGCCGGGGCGTACTTTGTGAGATAGGCATATGTTCGCAGTAACATGCAGTGGTAGAAATTTGATCATGAACTATCACTCGGTCGCCAAGACCGCTCGCACTGAGACGTAATTATTTCTTGGTTTAATACACAACGCGCGGTTGTTGAATGTTTGTTGGTTGTTGATGTTTAAGGCATAGTTTCAGGGGTTCTCGGGGTTGCGGTTCTGCGGTATGTTGACTCGCGGACGTGTGCGTGTGTGAGTGAGTCATGGGATGACGGGTGTGGTACGGTGTGTGGGCTGGAGATATGACTGCTATATAGTGCGTGTAGTGCTTATAGAGTTGTTTGTTTAGTATGTGGAGTTGTGTTTGCAGTGGTGGTGCTGCGGATGTGTATGGTGCGCCCACTCTTAAAGGTGACGAAAATCGGGCGAAAAGTCAAGGGCTTATAACTTTGCCAAAAGAAAAATTAAAAGAAATCGGTAAACAAAAAGTGTAGTACTAGTGATGAACTTTGGTTTTTGTTTCCAGATTTTTGATATCTACTTTAGTTAAAAGGTTATAAGAGTTTGAAGTTGCGGATTTTTGTATGTAAAAGGCGCTAAGACTGAGCAAAATGGAACAGTAATATACCCATTTATACCCCCCTCAAAAGTGAATTGCGGCAGGAATGCAGCAAAGTGTCTAGGAATAAGCCCTCTCATTAGCCTTAGAGTTCACCTTGCAGCCACGATTGTTCCACTTCCAGATACCGCCGTGTCACCTTTAAGAGTGTGCGCACTATATATGAGCTGTGGATATCGAGTGGTGAGACCTAGGGGGCGTGTATATGGTTTGCTCAATTAGGCAGAGCTGTTTCTGATAGTCGTGTAGTTGCTGTAACGAATGATATTTGCATGCATGTGGCGAGGCTATCCCGTGGTCCGTTAAAGCTAACCCTTTTTCCTAAGCCGCACGAAACCCGGGCGGGGGGTGACCGGAAGTTGATTCAATAATTGATAACGATTTTTTAGCACTAGCCACTCTTTTGACCCCCACAAAAAGGGGTCATCATGCTTTGACGGACCATGGGATAGTAAGGAGGGGGCCGGCCATAGAGGTGTATCAATATCGCGGTAGTCAAGAGCATTACATTATCATATCATCTCAGTTGAGAGTACTCTAGTAGTACTTGGGGAAAACCCTCAGCTTTCCGCTGGATGCGTGTGCCTAGTTGTGTGTGTGCTCCTTCGGACTGTAAGTAGTATTATTCTCGCTTTCGTAGCTTTAATTTAGCTGGGTTCGGTTTCTCTTTTGGCTAGTACTGGGACCTTTATTAGCGAAGTAAATGATTTTTCCAAAATTTAAATTTGCTAATAAAGGTCCCAGTACCAGGGTCTCGGGTAATGATGGGCACGAGACGGACCTCGTCTCGAGACCTCCAAGTGGTGCCGGATGATCTAAAATAAGGCACCTTCATGTTGTGCCAAGAATCTATGGTTCCCTGTTTTCTCTTGGATGGTATTAAGGATAAAAATCTAAATTTATGGAAAAGTTCTTAGCTCAAATCTAGATTGATTGAGTTCAGTTCATATCAGTCTCGATATTCATTTCAAGACTTCCAAGACTAGGATGTGACAAGACGAAACAAGACGAGACTCGGTACGGATCCAAAATGATCTTGTCTTGTCTCGTGCCCATCAGTAGTCTCGGGAGTTACACTCCCCTCCCTTTCTTTCTTGAGGTTTCTCTTCTTAAGTTTCCCTTGAGGCTGTTCAGGTAGATACATGTAGTCTTCTCCACAGCCAACAAATGCACAGTACAGCTTACTATACCTTAACTAGATCCATGGAATCGTCAACGAGAGTGTGGTTTTTATGGTACGTACATTATTAGTCTCACCCCTAAGCTATGCGCCTTATACACGGCCTGGTTTACCCAGTGTTCTCAATGGCACCATGTGCGAGTCTCGTCCCGTCCTGTGAAATCCATACCCACTAATGAATTAAACAAAAAAAAAAAAATCCATACCCACTCTTCCTTTACCTCGAGAGAATCGAGTGATTGGCTGTGAGCCAAGCCACAACAAAATCTGAAAACGAAGTCAGTATACCCATTCGTTGGTGTGATCACATATAATGTGAATATTTTATGAATGATTGAAGTGCACGATCTATATATGTCGAAAATCAGCTGCTGACTTCATGTTGGGGCTTGCTGGCGCATAGTGTCGTGGACCGGATCTTCTACTAACCGTTTCGCTGGTATCTTAGTTTTCGGGGCCGGTTCTAGCTGAGGATAAAGGGATTTGATCTCGAGATGCCTCATCCCATGCACGAAACTAGCTCAATCCTTCCCCGGAGAATCTTCAAGTCATTTGTGAAGGGTGAAGCGCCCATTGCATGGGGAGTTTTGGAGAGTTTTCCTTGGCGAGCTTGGGGAGATTTAAGGTTCACCGGAGATATTTAAGGTTCAGATACATGTATGTACAGATACATATATCCGCTGATATGTAACGTGCTATTGTGGGGTATTTTCGGTGTGTGCGTGTACTGGGCTAAAACGCGCGTGTTCACTACCACGACCGACCTTTCTTCTCCTTCTCTCCTTCTCTACACACTACCATCATAACTACCATCTTTGTTTCCACCAACGTCGAATCTATCGTGACATGCCAGTTCTGTCTTCAGTTCTTTCTTCAATCCCCCTGCTGCTCAACCTCAGGCAGTGCATGCCGCTATATATACGCCTGACATGCCCTGTGGATACGATGTAGCCACCGTAATCATCCCCAAATCCATAAGGGTGGGCGGATTTCCCCCGCATCGTGCGCCCTGCTTAAAAGCCCCTCTCTGGAGATATACTTTTCAACTGACTTCCCTCCAGTATCATCGATCCAATAAAATTTATTACCACGTTCATCAAATTCGTTCGGTTTACTCCTCAGGCAACTTTACTCTCATATATTGGCGGGGGATACAGCTCTTTACTGTCCTATCTTTATTTTAGTAAAAAAACCTCGCTTCATATCTAGTTGTGAGCCCTGTCTTATCTGTACTCTCCTCCGCGCTGACATCCTGGTCGGCCCCGGTGACCCCTTAGACCGTCCCTTTATCTTAAAACGGGCAGAAATGTCTGGACTAGATTGGTGCCACTGATTGATCGGGTGAACTTTTAGATATCCTATGTTTGGCGGATAGGATTCTTCCGGAGGGTTCCCCACTCACAATCCATATCCTAAGACTCAACGAATCGACTAGCCAACCATTAATACCAAAGAAAACACGAAGGCTTTTAATAGTCAAAAGCTACTAAGATATCTGATATATCTTAAACGATTTTAACAAATTAGATCATCAAATATCACGCGGTATACCTATGAAACCATCACGGAGAATTAACATACTTAGTGCCCTTCCAATGGGGCCAATAGAAACTACATATGCTATTGAGATTTATATTTAGGTGGACACTGCTTGTGTTTAGTGGATGAACGGGAGGGGTCTTAGATACGCTGAGTTAGTTATGCCTGAGGGTATCGAACACTGGCTATCACTCGATCACCAATAAGCGGCGAATACATCGGGCCGGGGTATTCGTTGCCTGTGTACCCGCTCGTTACCGAAGTCCCGTGGTTAGAAGGCGGAGAAAGCCAGTTCTTCAATAACTCACCAGTTATCACCATTTCAACAAATTAGAAACTGAAAACCGTCATACTATAACCTATAATCAATAGCACGTAAGATGATAGCCGTCGACAATTCCTGGCTATACAAAGTCTCTCCCAAGCTTACTGAACATAATAGGAAAGGGTCAGATATCTCAGACATACGATGCTCTATTCAGCTTGGACGGAATCATGGGTGCGAGGCCTATACATAAATGAGGCCCTGCATATATGGGCGTTCGATAGCCTGGAAAGCTTAGTTGGAGTGCGCACTATACTGTCACGAGCACTGTGGTTGGGACAAGATTTCATTCTGACACTTTTTTTTGTGAGAACAGGGTGCTCTTGACGCTGACAAAAGGACAAGGCAAAAAAAATGACTGACAAATATCTACACGTTTTGGGACAAACTCTGCTGTGAGTTTTTTCTTTAACTACTGGATTGATCACTTGCCTGAAGAAGGTACAGAGGGCGTGCGAGAGGGAACGAAGGAGAAAAGGCCTGGCCACGCACCCATGAGTGTCAAATATAATGGATTTCCCTAATCCTGACTGCTGACAAAGGAATTATGGGACACAAAAAATATGGGACAGACCCCCCGCTAACATTGACAAAAGACCTGAAAGCCCAAGACAATCTAAGGTCGTTGACAACTGACGTCCCAACCACAGTGCTCATGACAGTATTCAAAGAAAGAGTTGCACCGTAATTATGCGATACAACTACGCATATCGAAGGTATCAGTATCGAAATCTTATTGAAACACGGCAATCGTCGTTCTTACTGGTCTGACGACTAAATCTGACCAAAATTACCTTCTCATTGAACAGAATATGGGTCAAAATATCACCATTCACCGAGAGGATGGAATCAGCTAAAAACCAATAAAATACTATCTTGATAAACCGTCACTGCGTTATTCATGTATATGGTGCTGCAGTTAAGGGGCTTTCGCAAATATATCCAGACGTTCTCTTTATGGATCCAATGGATAAGGTCAAAAGGGTACTTGCCAACAATTAAGCCAGGAACCCTAGCCGAATGGTGAACCCTAGGAAAAAAATTCATATCAATATTTCTGGCTAGCGTATAACAATCACCGGAACTCATACCTTAAATAAAGGGATACAACTATACATTAAAAGTCCTATTACTAAGGTTATGGGGTCGAACAAAGCATACTAGAAACAATATAGCAGTCAACTCAACTACCAATGTCTCTAAATATGATTAGGGCATAAACAATCAGGAGACAAGGGCCATAGTGGTACTAGAATATCTACCGCAATGAGCTGGCGTCAAAGATAAATTGCACTGACTACCAAAAGCTAGGAGACAATGTCGAAGGTGCGACGGCCGGTATTATGAACCTTAGAAATTATGCGGGTATGGGCAAATGCAATTATAACAATGATGGCTGATGAAGTGCGTGGCAAGTAAAGAGGCGATTATTGCCGATTGAAAGGCTCCGCACGGATATAAGCTTTACCCCAGGTTGAGGTGTAGATCCTGTGGGCTCCTCTTCTGTTCCTGCTTTACAGAAACCTGTTCTATCAGTTAGATTCAAGGCTGATTTTTTGGGCGATCAGAGAGCTGGAACTATATTTGCCATCTTTAACCGAGATAATGAATAAGGTATAATATACCCGTACATTATGAGTACATGGGTAGCTTGACATGAGCTCTACTCGTAGCTTCATAGCGTTTCCGAACACGACCAATATTGCATGACATACAAAAAGGTGGATTTGGCGCTTTTTTGTATGGTATGCAATAGCAGTTGTGTTCGGAAACGTCATGAATCTACGGGTAATTCATCTGCAGCTGGTCCATGCACTCACTCGCTGAGTACTTTAGGGTTGCTGTGTGGTTCATCTCTGTGCTGGCCCGCGACGCAGAGCAGGGATTGGTTGGGAGACGAGAAGATTAATACGGGCGCATATAGATTCGGGATCTAGGATGTATCTTATATCTGTCTGAAGGGATATTTACCCGTACTGCGCAGCACAATACCGATATTGATATCTCCGATATAGTTTCTGCCGGGCCTATTCCCCGAGAACAATAGAAAATAATATTTACGCTGAGTTATGTACAATTGCTTTATCTGGCAAACTCAACGTCATTGAAAAGACTTAGACTAGGCTACAACGTTGGCCTCACTCCGGAGAGGGTAAAAATCCTTCCGATGAAACGGAAAGTTAGACACCGGCAGGTCGTAACCCCAACTGAGTTAACTTTCCCCTCCTGATCTACGACATGATACATCACTCGTCCCTTTCTTCCGCAGAGTGCACAAACACCATTGGACTACCAAGCGTCTTATGGACCATATACAGCTCGAGATCTTCGTATCGGCAATTATCTATGGAGGAATACCTTATAATGGTTATTCAAACCAGCTGTTTACTCTATCATCTATCTCGGCATATTCCACAGTCAATATCGAAATGCTACTCTATCATGCCAACTATCAAATAATATGTGGAAGTAATGCATTGTTTTATATATAATGCGCCTCTGGCCTCGTTTTTGGGTCGACACGGAAGATAAAGTTGTTGAGTTGGTACTAACACTCCGTACGCCTAAGGTAAATTGCCACTCAAATAAACGATTAGGGGGTCCAACTTTGAGTCTACGTTTAAGTGGATGTACACCTTAGCACCTCGGGCCTACATTCAAATGGATATAAAAACCTTTAATTCTAGCTAATGGCAAATTTCAAGAGAATATATACTATACAATCGAGTAATGAGATTTGAAGCCAAGCCACCAGCCAGTTTTTTACCAAGACAAGCGCAGTTAAATCGTTTCAAGAAAAAGAGAGCACTGGAGAAATAAAAAATAATGATAGATATCTTTGATTTTTTATCCGAGTTATTAAACACTTAGAAGATCATGGACCTAATGTACTAAGCATGATGGTAGTATGTAGTTACATGCACCCTGTAAGTTTGGTCGAATATTAACGCTTACTGAAGCGTCGGGATTTTAATGCGTTAAAATCTTGTATATCGCCACAGGGATTTTGTTCCTCTCAAGAATACTAAACAGAAAAATATATATTAACATATATTGATCGACGATCGTGCACATCAATCCTGAATTGATGTGCACAGCGGTGAGTTCCTTAATCTAATACACGACCCTTAAGTATGAAAAAAAAAAAAAGGCCAATAAAATGCCATGCCCACGGAGGCGGTATGAAATCTCCGCAGCGAAGGAGAGACATCTTGCATATGTATGTGTCAAAGCGTTGATACCGAGAAATACTTCTCATGGGACAGTACGTGCGCTCTCTTGGCAAAATGCACGGGGATTAATGATGATCTGAAAGATGGGATGATCCAGAGTTTATGGCTGACGGGTTTCCATCTTTCCGAGCTGTCTCAATAGTTTACAGTCGTACTGTTCATGGAATAGCTTTACATTCATCAATATCATTGATACTACTAACAGCAGTGGTTCCTTGTCGTGGCTGTACATGTTCTTTTAATTTTATAAAGCCTTGGGTTCCACGTTACCGAGCTAGAGAAAAAAGACACGAAGACTGTTTTTTCCCCGAAAAATAAATTATAAACAAAACACTACCTACATCAAGGGGCCACATAGACACTCCTGTAATGCCAAGCCAAATCGTTCGTGGGGGCGGCATGGATATTTGCTGATCACATCCATGCTCCCTGGTCAACAACGGACCGTGTGTCACAAACAATCACTCGCCTGCACACAAGGAACCGGCATGAACGCCGTTACACCAAAAACATCTCGGGGTCACTTCCTATTGAGTTCGAATCCGATATAAATAAACACTTCGATTTTGAGATAAGTATTTTATTGCAGCGCTGATCATATCTAACCTTTCTTCCTTCTTTTCTCTGGAGGGAAGTTTGCTAACTAATAATTATCATAGTAGTAGATATCAAAAAGTTTCGGATTCACAATCACAGCTCAGAAACCAAATTTTTTTATAATCAATTGCAATTGAATTACAGATACTATAAAGAGAGTTTTAGTCCAGTAAGGACCAATGGAGACCCCGCTATACCACCGCTCTTCCACTACCTAAAAATAATAAGAAATCCATAAAAGTCCATCCCCCTCCATCACTTCCTTGTTGCCTAATACATTCCGATTTTCCGCACAAGTTACAGCCACCCGCAAGAATAAAGAAAACTAAAACCAAAAGATCGTCGACTATCCCCCAGCTAGTATGCTCCATGTTGCAGTAGCCACCCCCCAAGTACCAGTATAGCGTGCGATCCGTTTATAGGATTAAACCGAACAAGCTACAGCAGAAGCAAGTAGCACCTCCAAGAAGGCTGACAAGGAGAGTTACGACGAGACTAAGCAATCCATCGATAACAAGGGCAAGGACAACGAGAAGACCGTTGATAGCAACCTTGAGTTCAACGAGGAGGGAGGCAATAAGGACGAGGAGGAGGGAGAGGAGACCACCAACTATAGTTAATCTGTCAGTATATAAAACTTATGAAAAATGAGCAGAAGAAGGTGAGGAAAACATACGAAGACCACACTTTCCGAGCAAGAAGGTAAGGCAAACATTGATGGCGATGATAATCTCCACTACAATCTTAACAATGATGGAGATGACAACGGTAGGGCACTTCCATCCGCTGGGGATATCCCCTTGATTGTGCTGGTCCACTTAGTAATGATTACTGCGCACTCCTTCTGCCAGCTGATGATATCGGTGGTTTTGCAGCTTCCACTGCAGGTGCCGGTCCACTTTTTGTGGCAGGTATCGAGCTCAGTCTTGCAGCTGGTGAGGTGGCCAGTGATGGCATCGCTGGTAGCGTCGCGGATTGCGAGCTCTGGAGCGGGAGCTGCGACGGGAGAGGCAACAGCGAAGATGCTGAAGATGGCCACGGCGGCAGAGAGGATGGATGAAACACGCATATTGACTGTTGGTTGTGGTGGTGGTGGGGGGAAGAAGAAGATATTAAAGTGAGAGTAGTAGTGGTAGTAGTGAGTGGTAGTGGTGGTAGGCGGATGAGGAGTGAAGAGCGAGGTGAGGAATTGACTGATGGGGGGAGGTTGTTGAGTCTTATATAGAGAAAATCGAAGATGGTAGGTTAGTAGGTTAGTATGTTGATTGTCAGTGCGTCTCTCGTACGGACATCAAGCAAGCAAGCAAGCAAGCTAGCTAGTTTGAATTTCCGTATGAGTATCTCTATGCAGTACCTTTGCCTGCTCCCTCCCCTGGTAAGTTTGTTCAAGGATAGTTTTTTCTTTCTTTTTTTTCTCACACTCTCTTTCTCGCTATCTTCGATGTGCATATCTTTTTTCCTTCAAATGCCGAAATTAAACCTAGAACAAACAGGAAAGAAAAAATCACCTCTATTATTCCTTGCCGTAGCACAGAACCTCTGCATCTGGACCAGGAGTGTTTTTTTTTCTTCACTGTTTTTCTCGTTTTTCTTTTCAATGCTTTTTTGGGGAATAAGGCATTGGCTTCAATGAAGTCGGTGGCGGGTTGATCTTAACTGTCTGTCCTGTTTTGGCATGCGTGAGCAAGTAATTGTAAATATCTAACTGACTAGCTATACAGGATACAGCTGTATACCATCGATCCTCTTTGAATCGTCCTGTCTACCATAATAATATTACGCTACTACCACCACTGCTCTCATGTATCCTGCCTATCTAGCTACAATATTATACCCTAAACTCTTCTAGATCTCCCTTGGCCTTTGGATTTCAAAGAAACAAATATTTACAGTACAATACTCGGAGCTACACGGAACCCTCCTCCCCATGCAGCACCTCCCAGGGGGTTCGGGAGTCGGAGGTAGGGAGGTAAGTGTAGGTACGGTACTCTATCGATATCGCATCAACCTACCCACGTACCTACATACATGTACCTGTACCTACTAGTAGTTTTCCCACCTCCCGAGGGAAAACCATGGCCAACCATGCAATTAATACTGCAGCTAGCACACTATAGCAAGAATTCGAAAGCATAGCTGCCGATCCGATCCCAAGAGATCAGCATCAGTATCGTCCCAGGGGCGAACAGGAAAAAAAGGGGTGGAGGGGTGGAGGGGTGGTGGGGTGGTGGTGTGTGGTTCTGATCATTGGCCTTTTCTTCTTTTGAGGGTCTCTGTGGATACTTGATTGTTCTTTGATTTTTTTTCTCTACGTATTTCTTTTGTTTTTGGGCGTGCGGTAGGGCTTAGTTAGTTCTATAGGGGCGCCGGAGTATTATTGCGTTTTCTTACTAGTGGAACTGAGTCAAACGGTCGCGCCGGTACGGTACGTACGGCGCCCACGAATATGAGACAGGTAATGGGAAGTTAGGCTGGCTGTCATGGCGGTGCACCAGTGACACAGTTCAACGTCGCGTGGAGGGGGACGGGCGTCGGTTACATGTAGTAGTGTAGTAGTAGCAGTAGGATGTAGGTCCGGTTGTTAGTTGGTGAGTGTGTGGAAGCTAGAAGCCCCGTGGAAGACACACGGACACTGCAACCGCGCTCGGGCCTAGTACTATACCTACAGCATGCTACTACTAAACCACAACTACATGTACCTACATACCACTCTCTCCTAAGCCAGCAAACTAAACTATCTAACCAGCATCACCGCCGCAAATCGGAAGAGTACCTCCAATGCGGTGTCTCGGACCGAAAGGCTCTCGGGTTTCGTATTTGGCAGAAAACGGGACACTGAGGCTGGCTGTCATAGCTACAGAACAATTACATAGTGAGTTCTTTTGTTTGCGATTTGCGGGAGCTTATTTCCGCCCCCCGTCCCGACATATTTAACTCTTTGCTTAACAATTGCGGTAGATGCAGCAGCAGTGCAGTGGTAGCGGATATCATACCTGTCTGTCTATCTGGGTAGCTGGTTTGTTTGTGCATCCTTCTTTCCAGCTGAATTAAATCACGATTGCAAAAGAAAAAGAGCCACGGCGGTCCGTCCCTCCGCTAATTAGCTGGTGACTTCAAGATGACGTCTTTCATCGTATAGCTGGCGGTCTGGCCGCTACATACATACTTATGATAGGAAGATATTGCTGGCAGGAGTCAAGCTTTACCGGCCGGTCAACAATCAGGTAATCCCTCTCGAGCTGCCTGGGTGTAGGTAGGTACAATATACCCATCCCATCCATTCATCCATCCATCCATCCAGTGAGTGATAGTAGTACAATTGTAATACACCCCTTCCTCCTCCCCTCCCTCCCGTATCCCGGGGAAAAGCTAGAAGAATGAAAATGATTAGCAAAACCTACCACCCTCGGGAATCCAGATCTCAGGTAACACACTACAACTAGGTTAGTTGTTCAAATTCTGTGTATCGGATAATTATCCGGGCGATCGTCGCCTTGTTTAGTAGGCGAGAGGGGGGCGTGGGAGATTTTAGGCAGCGGTGAAGGAACCAGTTACTTTGGCTCAAACTCACTCAGGCCTTTGAAGGCGTGCGGTGTGCGGTGTTCCAGAAGGAATTTGTGAATACGGATGTGTGTGAGTGAGACTCTGCTCGCTCCATGGGCGAGACAAGTGAAATTCCCAAGTAATTGTCAATCTGATTATCTCGCTTCTTGGCATCTACTAATTCACAACCGTATGCAGCTAGCTATAATGACTACTATTGCTACTAATCTAAAAATAACCCCCCTTTACCCCACGCACCCCTGGGACGAACATTTTCCACTCGGCCTCGGGTCGCCACGGCTACGGCTAGATCTCGGTGCGCTACTGACTGGCGGCGGGAACGGGTTAGTCACATACCTACCGGATATCGGGATGGGTTAAGTTGGAGTAGAGCAGGTAGAAGTAGAGGAGGAAATTGTAAGCTTGTCGAGGGCCAGGCATCGATCAGGGTTCATGGTAGTTGTGTACATATTCGACTGTTTCCATATGAGGTGCATAATATCCGGTGTTATGGTATTAAACAACATTATACAGCGAGAGGCAAAATTATTGTAGAAACAGGGGTCTAAAAACAGGGTTTCTGTGGCTGGGCAAGCCAATAGGACTCCTCCCATATTTCTACAATAATCTTACCGCAAGCTGTAGCGACGACAGCGATGACAGCGACCACGACAAATATCAAAGTGCTTTCGGACGTATCCAATTTTTCCAGAAGAAAAAGGGCTCCAGAGCTAGAGACGTGTCGGCCTTCTGCCCACACTCGTCACTCTGATTCTATTTTTGATGTGAGTGCGAGAGGGTGTCTAGGTTATGCACTCTAGAGTAGAGTAGCTCGAAAGCAAGATCTAGGTACAGCACCCTACTCTACACAATTGCGCAACTTTCCCTTTTTGCCTGGCCTCAAATCCCCCTTTCCTGCCCTCACCTCTCCTTGGCGCGTAGATCTCCCGTGCAACAATGACAAGACCTGTTTTGGCGGCGACGTGTAACTGTGCTCTCTCTTTTTTGACAGCCTTGACAGGTAACGCAGAGCCCAAACTACCGATATAGCCGAAATCTGTGTAACGGTGCAGATCTTAACTGTGCGAGAAACTGCCGTTCATGCAGTGGGCCGGGTGTTAAAGCTGGTACATGCATATGTAGACCATCACCATATATAAAAGTTCCGTTGGAAGGCCTGTTTACGGCGCAAGCCACAGGAACAATACCAAATGGGCACTTGCAGTTATTGATTTGAGTGGCTTGCACAGTAAATCTTGTCTGCAACCACTAGAATTTGTTGGTGCGTGCTGGCAGGGGAAATGGAGGGGGGGGGACGAACCGGGACCGAAACGAGTGAGTGCGAGTGAAGCTACATGTAGCTTTGGAGGTATGGATCCCAAAGGGTGATTTGGCTCCCACCCCCAACACCCACCCGCGGAAATTTGGGGGGTCAAGTGCCCCAGTCTATGATAGATTCTTCTAGGAAAACGGCTAGGAGATGAAGAATCTGTAGGTGCATTTTTTTTTTTTTTTGCTCCTACCTTAATTCCCTTCCCCTCGGGCATCGGGGGAAGTGACGGCGTGCGTCGTTCGCGGCACATGGCAGCAGCGCCTTATGTACCTACATCGACCATTCAATTGGAGTACACGCCTTCTCCCCGCCATGGAAAAATTGGGGGCGGCTGCGGTGGAAAGAGCGTTGCGCATAGCTTTTCGGCCCCCATATCAGATCATAGACTCGAGGCCGATCGGGGTCGGGTGGTAGTTACTTGCCATGTCTCAGTCTCGGTCTCATGCTCAGACTCACTCTCGGACTTTGCTGCTGACTGATTACTCCACTCAGCTCAGAGAGATCGTGTGATATGATAATTAGCTATATAGTTAGTCTGAAGGAAATAGTAGGAATGTCGGTGTCTCACTGTTGTCCGTTGTTTGATTTGAATCATACGAGTGCTGCCACGGCGTGTCGAAGGAAAAGGCTTGTGAGGCATGCGTGCAGGTGTCGAATTCGATTGACAATACATGATTGAGGATGAGCAGCACGTGGAGGGCAGTTGCAGGGGTAACCATGGAGACAGATCTGAATGGCCATAAGGGTGATCGTCATAAGAGGGTCGGATATAGCGAAAGCAGCCGGGATCATTTATATGTGCGACCAAATTGGGCTTGGTATATTGTTATGCTGCCCTTTTTGGCTTGGAAGACAAACTGCCTCGAGTAACCACCACCATACAAGCTCTCACAACCACCAATCGAGACCTAACTACAGCTACATGTACAACCATACTACTCTGTGAACCACATGCAACTAACTCGATAACCAGCTCAAGTAGCGTTTTTCTACCAGTCGGAGTTGCCAATTTCCGGGTGAACCGCGCCGTTCGACGTCCGCCTTCAATATATCAAACACCCCAGAACCCAGTAGTGACAGGGTCTTTATCTGAGTACACTCATGTTCGCGCCTTTCGATCTGGGCTTGGGTGTGTGCCGATTGGGGGCTGGGCTAGGGGTTGGAGTTGAGCTGGGCTGTGGGGGTGGGTGATA